TAATTTTTTTTAAATCAAAAGTGAATTATTTATTTATAATTATTTTTATTAGCATTAAATATAGTTATATCATTTGTAAAAAAATTATTTGAAATTCTTATTATATCTCAAAAAAATGAAATAAAATATAAAATCTTATAATATTAAAATGTCTGTATTTTAAAATTGATGGATAATTATTTATTAAATTATAAAATAAACAATAATAAAATGTGAATATTTTTTAAGATAATCGTGAACTTTTAACATTGTTTTCTATTTGAATATTATAAAATATAAAATGTTCTATAAAATGTTCGAAATAAGAATATTTTATTATATTTAGACATGCTAATGGTTATATTACAGAAATAAAACAGTTTATATTATATTTTGTGAACATCGAACTTTTCATAATTTTTTTACAAATAATTGATATAAATTTTTAAAAATTTTAATGTATTTATTTGCACTTTGAAACTCAACTATCAATAATTCATGATTATCTTATTTTAATTTCATTCGCGAAGATTCCTTAAAGTATATGTCATTACATAATTTATTAAAAAAGTGAAATATTTAAAAATTGAATATCTTGTAAAACGCTCAAAGTTTAAATGCATAAGTTTATCGATTTGTGTAAAGGAAATTGGTATCTAGGATTTCGGATAAAAATCAAAAGACGAGATAGCAGTATTTTATATTCATGAAATTTCATAAGCACGAGGCCTTTGTTTTTATTATCTCTGTACAAAAACAGTCGAAAAAATTATAGATTTCTTTTGATAAAGATTTAATTTTTTCGAGCTCACGGCATATGTACAAGCGGGAAATGATAGACATAATAACCTAAAAACTAAATATAATTATACATTGATATAATATATAATAGATATAATAATTATAATTCATAATAATTAATAGTAAACCTACAGTCTACAGATTCGAGAGTGTACGTAACGTGTTCCTCGTGTCTGTTTCATGTATCTCGTCAAAGTGTATTCGTCACATGTGTATGTGCACTCACATCTCTCACGTATGTTTTACATTTGTTTTCCAATGAGAGTGTATTACAGCGACAAAGCGAATTTTTTGTACACATAATTTCTCGAACAGATCGTTTCGCTCGCAATTGTTTCGAAAATGTTTATAGTGTCTTATGTCATATTATGTCATGTCATGTCGTGTCACGTCATGTCACGTCACGTCATGTCACGTCATATCATATTATGTATCATGTATCGTCAGTTCATGTATTATTGTATACGTGTAACTTTGTTTATGTGTTTAACCGTCTATCTGTCTTGTGTCTATGTTACGTATATGTTACGAATGTTTTATTTTCTTGTGCACTGGCCAACAGGGTCGCCGAATTCGGATCTCAATAACCTTGGGTCGGTGTCTTTCAAATTTTATCTTTAATTTATAATGCGTATTAAAATCATTATGAATTTTCCTTAATACAATAAATTCAAAATCACAATTGTATTACCACAATGGGACCCATGGCGCACGTTACCCGAGTTGAGCATTCCTGCTGGGCCTCACGCTCTCTTACTGTTCATTACCCCTTTTCTTATCCCTCTCTTAATCTCACCCTCTCCCTTTCTCGCTCTCTTTCTCCCACGCTATCTTTCTTTCGTACTCACTCTCGCGCAAAATTTCTCCAACACTATTATTATTCGCGCTTCGATTTTCCTTCTTTTCTATAAACTATATCCTCTCTTCTACTTCTCTCGTGCATTCTCCTTCCTGGTGTCCCAACAAAACAGTTTAATTCACAAAAAAAAAAAAAAAAAAAAAGAAAAATACGCGGCATATATTCTAATTTCATATACATCGCAAATTTACGATTTCGATTATCGTCTTTCTTTCTCATTTTCTCTTTTGCTCGTTATATCAATAAAGAAAGCGGAGGGAACACGATGGAAAATGCGAACGGAAGACGCATGTGATTTATTTATACAAATTGATTTCGGAAGAATCGCAGAATTGCACACAATCACGCGAAGCGAGATTAAAAAATAAATATATATCATAAAGTACACATTCCATCTCTTGTTGCACCTTTCGTAAGTATGGCAATACGAATATTAATATAAATTGATGATTAAAATTTTCGAATATGAAAAATATAAAATATACAATTTTAGTATTATAATATATACACATATATACGAATTTTGTTAAGAATGGAGAAAAATTCCCGCTTTTTGTTCCACGTGTCATTTCTTGCGATCGAAATATATTACATATACATTAGCATCGTATTTACAATTCTAGCAAAGTTAGGATCATAATTTATTTGCAACAATCTTACTTGCATAAGAAAAATTTAAGTTTAAATTTTTGTACATATATATTGCATTAAATGTATACGTAATAAATATCTTTCCGTTTGCACTTTACAATATAATTTTTTCACGTTTCCCTCCTATTTCCCTCATACATGCACACTTCACATTCGCCCACAACTCCCCACCCCTATTCTCATCCCCACTATTTCTAGTCCTAGCATACAAAATGATCGACAGTTTTTTTTTCTCATACAGAACTTTCTCTCGCTCATGTATCATGCACAAGTTCTCTCGCGGTTCGAATCTTTTTTTTTTTTATCATTTATCTTGATTTTGTCTCACTTTATTTAAAAAAATACTGAATTAACCAAGCTAAAATCACAGACTTGCTGGTGCCTTATTCCAGCGGGTTTGTACAAATTCTTCCTGAAGGACTCTATGTATAGTTACAAGATGTATATATATATATATGTATACATATAAGTATGTATATATAATATATGCGTATATATATATGTATATATAGTAATTACAATTCACTCATGAAATAGTGTCTTGCACCTCTCTTGCTACTTGTGTATATGTATATTATACGTTTCGTATGCGTTCGTCTCTTGGACATGTATATTCTTTGTATACGCAAATTCAAAGGAATATCAATCATTATGAAAAAGATGTGCCCTATGTCTCGAATATTTTGTCTTCTTCGTGGGTCTAACCAAATAAAATAGAAAAGAAACATTTTTTTCTCCTAAATTTTATTTAAAATCTGTACAATAAGTACTATACGTGTGCGAGATTTTCTACACCGCCATTCGACTCTCACACTTTCACCTGGTTCACCTAACTTTACTTTCGACAGATTTTCCAATGGTCGTTCAGAGAGAATCGGTTTGCGTTTTTGATCTTTGAAATGAAAGAGCGAATTCAAATCTCTTTCTCCTCGTTTGTTTTTGTGGTTTGCGCGCTCGGTTACAATTTCGCAAACTGAGCATGTTTAGCAATTTTAATCGAACGATCGTGAATTCGTATCGATGTGTTTCAATTGTAAATTAAATCGAAATAAATGTGTACATATAATATATTGGTAAAGGGAAGAAAAAAAAAAAATTAAAAATGTGACTAACAAAAACGATCAAACCCTTTCCAACATAAAATGCAATTTCTTTACATGAATAAAAAAAATGCGAAAAAAGAGAATAAGAGAAAATCGAATCAATGTGTATAAATAAAATTCATAGACAATATAATACGTATGCATAATACGTTCAGATTGATCGCTAAAAAAATATTAATCTAAATTCTTAATTCGTTTAAAATTGCCATGCATGTTTTTCAATATAAACATATTTATACATATATACTTTTACATATTGGTACAATACAAATACGCATGTATACGTGATCTAATACAGATACGAATACACGTGTTTTTAATTAGGTCGTTCGCATACAAAGAATTGCTCATATTGTCTCTTTATTTTTAATATAATCACAGACATGGTTTCTATAATAATTGCTACATACCGAACGCGAATTCTTGCCTTTTCTATCTCGCTCTGTTTTTTTTCACAATCACACTTCCCTTCTCTCTCCTTTTTTTTTGTTCTAACATACAACACTTCTTCACTATTCTATATTATAGTCACATCAAATGAACGGCATTCTCTCAAATTCTTGCACACCATGATTCAATTTTACTGCGTAATATCACGCGAATATACCGAATAATTAAAATGTGTTACGAAAGAAAAAAGAAAATAATTTTTATTAATACATCATTGGATGATTTTCGTCTTTGTAATCTATTTGATATTTTTTATCCAGATAATCCAGGTAATCCAGGTAATCCAGGTAAGCCAGGTAAGCCAGACATGCCATCGAAGAACCCATGACGAAACGATCACATATTTACATATACATATACGAGCATATGTATATAATCGAATGATTTTATCTTGGAACAATAGAATTGCTAATAAGAAACTTGTGTAAATTTGAAAATTCGGATTTCTTTTCTTTTTTAACATTATAAATTTGTAAGAAAACTTTTGTTAATATCAAACAATTTCTTTAATATTCAATTTTTTAAAATGAAAAAAATTGTTAAAATTGAATACATTTTTTTTCATTTTTTTTTTTATATTTTGAATACTAAAATGCAAATAATAAAATGAATAAAGAAAATGAAAAAAAAAATTGTTCAAATAAAAATTGTATGATTTTACATATTGTAAAATGTATAAACTGTCCAATTATAGAATATATATACATTTATAAGATACATTTTTTGACTATGAGAGGGCTTTTTTATTTTTTTTTCTTTTTTTTATTTTAAGTACAAGTTTTTAACAATTTTATTGCACAGTTGGGAAGACATAGAATAATTATAATTGAAAAGCTAAAAAATAAATAAAAAGAAAGTAATTAGAAAAAAAAAGAGAAATTGTTAGATACAAACTTACAAATCTGCAAAATTGAAAAAAAAATCAGAATTTTCATATTGAAAAAGTCCTTTATTAAGTAAAACCCATATATAGATATTATATTTTTTCATACGCACCAGATTCCTATTGCATTATATCCGACTAATTAAATTAAATTGCAACAATCCAGCAATATATATATATATTTTATAATAGATCAGCGAAATAAAATTATTACATCAATAAATAAGTAGATGATCAATTTTGTAAAATAAGAAGCTGAATCGATTTAAAAAAAAAATAAATTTTTGAAAAGAAAAGATATTATTGTCAAATTTGAATTGAATGATTGAAAATTAACCACGTGATCCATTTACATTCATTTTCATTCGTGTCAACATGCATTCTTCGTTCGATTCGATCATTCTATCGTTCGAAACACCAGAAAAGATAATTATTCGATATGCACGAAATACGCTTTCTCATCATGCAAAATCAATCACAGTTATTTGTTTCATATTTATTTGTTCATTTGCTCTCTCTCATACATACAATATATATTCCTCTTTTTCTTATTCTCATTTACTCTAGATTCATATACAATCTCACTTTTTCTTTCTTTTTCTCTCCCTCATTTCCATTCATTTTTTTTCTTTTGCTCACATTCACTCATTTTATGCTCAGAAAACAGATAATATACAATTTGACATATCATATATGCGCAAGGGACGAAAACGAAGTTTGCGCATTATGTATCTTCTACATACATAATAACTATATATATGTACATATAAACTCACGCTTTTTAAAGGTTTGTACGTATGAAGTGTAACGTGTGTTCTTTTTTGTCAACGATGCTAACATGTGATTCGAGTTAATGATTGCTCGATCACCAATGTCGACGACCAATGAAAGAATAGCAATGGATGATCCAAGAACGATAAGTGGGCCAATGACGCCGAGGATAAAATGATAGATATTTATCGTTATCATGCTTATTAGCATACACACGTTCCATGAAAAAAGTTCCGGATCAAAGAAGAAAATCAAAAATCGATTGATCAATAATTGTTGATTAACAAATTCCTTCAATGTATTTGACGATGTGATGACAGAAATGTATACGTTTGTTCCTTTTTTCTTCAACTTATTCTTGTCTTTTACAATACGTGTTTGGTGTTTGTGTGTGGCTCGGTGGTAATTTGCATTGATAGTGCGAGGTTAGAGAGAAAAAAATCCTTGACGACCACAGCGTGATGACCATGCGGACAGAAGAGAGAATGCAGCCTATAGTATATTGTTTATCGATTTTCCATTAAAAAGTGAATTGCTTGTCCTTTTTTATTTCATATTCCTCGATGTTCGTCTTTCGTTATTGACAAACACCAGACATCGGAACATGAGGGTTCAGAATAATCAATTAGATTGATACATAAAAAGAAAAGATGTTTTGACGTGGAAGAAAAGAGATTTTATGACAATAAAAACACGTTGAATTCTTCTTGAGGGAGAGAGGTTTATTTCGCTTTTCCTCTCATGAGAACAGAAAAGCGAGTCAGACTGGTTCGTTGTTCCCCTATCCAGGCGTAATTTCTTTTCGAAATAAATAGAAATATACGCGGGGAGGAGAGCTGAGATCAATTTGTCGGACTGAGAGAGATCCTCGCGGAGCTCGCCCATATTTTTTCTCACTTTTGCAGGCCCGGTCTCGCCAGCAGCCAGTATTTCCAGCATAATGAGATGGAAAAATCTGAATCTTCTCGCGAGACACATCAGGACGTTTAAAGGATCGCTGGTCTAGGTACACAACGTTACGCGAACGCGCAGTATTCTTTTCCGAATATTCAAACGATGATGGTGACACTTCTTTCTTCTTCTTGCTATGAGTACCCTTTTCTTTTTCGTATGATTGACGAAAATTCAGGATGACTCGTATATGTTTGATTGGACTAGAGTCAACTGTGATTATGATCGTTGCGACTCGTCAGGAACCCGTCGAGAAAGCGTCGAGACTCCATCGGACAATATGTATTGGACGTATTTCTTCAATAAATCAAATTTAGCCAAAAAACAGTTATACACATTTTTTACACATTTCTTGTTCATTTTTAAAACGATGTACACGAAAGAGCTTGTTACACTTAATTTTGGAGGAATTCGACTCAGATAGAATAGAATTGCGCGTTCGTGTGCACGAGCCGAATATTCACCCGACCAGAGGAACGCGATCACATATCACGAAACGTATATGCTTTGATCAGTCCGAGAGCGTGATGCACGTCCAATGGAAATGAAGCGAGATGCGATTTTTATCGCATCGGTGAACCTGCGCCGAAAAACGCTTCAACTGGAAACGAACGCGGCGATTTGCTCGCTAAATTGCGAGTGTTCCAACAGTAGCGAATCTTTGCAACTTTCAAATTGTTGTTGCTGTTGTTGCTGCTGTTGTTGATGATGTTGATGCTGGTGTTGGTGTTGATGTTGATGTTGATGTTGTTGAGCCTCTTCTGGTTCGGGCTCTGTACGCTCATATAAAACACAAATCGATCCATTTTCTCCGATTCTGTACGATACTTCCGACGGATCAATCCACATAGTGAGCTCGCTTGGAAATAAGTTATGCAGTACTGTTGGTAATAATCCAACATTTGCACCTGCCTGTGCAATTACAGGATCCATCTTACCATTAATGCGTATGCAACGATAGCCAGAACCTCGATTTGGGCGATCTGGAAACCAGTGATCCCTGTAACGATGACGTAGTACCTCTGTTAAAGAGGACTTAAACATCTCCAGCTGACGTTCAGACAACTGACCCGTCTGAAGACGCAATAAATGCACCAAAAAATCCGCCGCTGACACAATTTCCAGTCTCATGGTTGCTATGCGATATAACCCAGGACGAATGGTCTATGGTAAAATTTTGTCGATTTTAAACCACTCTTCTTCCTCCACTTCTTCCGTTCCCGAGACAGTCGAGAGACGACGCGGCCGAAAGAAAACACTATTCTTTCCGTGGTTTGAAAGGTTATGACTCGAGTGAGACCGTTGCTCACGGGACGCACACAGGAGTGTTCACAAAATGGCGTCGCCGCCACGTCGTACGATCGCGCGTAATATTCGTTCGTCGACACTCCAGTGCGAGGAAAAATATCGAGAGTTTTTCGATAATTCTTCCGCAAATATCGGAAACAATTTAACACAAACTGTTTCAATGTATCGAATCTTTGCGTTAATCGTTTTATATTTCTTCGAAAATTTTCGATTTCGTTAGGATGATCTCGCAAATGTGACGAGATTAATCCTTCGCAAGTAAGTGCTGCGATCGTAATCTTTTTCGATCGTAAACTCGTTCGAAATCGTTTCTCCGATCCCTGGGATGCCAGCGAGAATCGATAAGACGACGAAATGTAAAATTCAAACGATCGCAATAACGATGACTTTCTTTCCTATCACGCTGGTTCACTTTGTTCACTTTATAACTGCGGAAAAACTTTCTCGCAAAACTTAACTGACGCACTTTTCTTTGACTCACGCGAATCAACCGCACCCACCAACTGCCAACGACTTTCTACTGGCAGCGATCGACGACGCAACGAAGTAGCTTTGTCTCTTTGTTCACGCAATCTAGAGTGGGGATAAAAGTAATACTCCAATTGGATCATTCTGTTTCCCACTATATCCATCAAACACGTGATCACAATCTGCGCGGTTTTAGCTGCGCAAACGTTTGCAGCTGCGTCCCGAATACGGATCGCCTGCGTGAATAAAGGTTCTCAATTAGTTTTTACCGACATCATCAGAAATTGATAATTTTCTATATTTACAAAATATTTTTCCTAAATTTGAGTGACGAAAAATAAATTTATATATTCCGATTATGATATCAAAATAATATCTTTTAAAAGAATTAACCTTACTTTTATACAAAAATATATTTTTTGTTGAATTTTTTTTTGTATACAACATATAAATAAAATTTAAACATGTTCGAATGGATTAAACATACAACAACAACATTTTAATAATAAAAATAATAAAAATTTTAAATAATGAAAATTATTTTAATTTATTATTTAAAAGTTATATTAAATGATGCTTATTTTTTAAATAAATATATTAATATCCAATAAATTTATTTACATAATACATAATCATAATACATAATACATAAATCATACTTTTATATTATACATTATACATTATACATTACAATTATACATTTAAAATATAATTTTAAAACATATATAAAATATAGATATAATTATATATAATTTTTTATAATTATATATAAAATATATAATATATATAATTATATATAAAAGCAAATTATATATAATTCTTATTATAACAAAAAGAATTTCATTTATAAAATAAATTATGCAATTATTAAGATTCAATTAAAAATATAAAAATTATTTAAAATTATTGAACTTAAATTATAAAATTTTATAATTTAATAATCAATAAAAATATAATAATCAAATATAATATAAAATATAAAATAAGATATCATTTCTAAATTTGTATTTCATCGAACAAATATTAGATTATTATAAATAAAATTTTTGAAAATATTATTTATATTCAAAATTTAATTTTTTAATGGAAAATATTACTTGGAACATATAGTATTAAAAATATAAAAAATAAAATTAGGAATTTTATTAATTAAATTAATAATAAATTATTATTATTTAAATATTTTATTGTTTAAATTAATAATTAATTAATTTTAAAATTAAATTAAATTTGTAATGGATTTTATAAATTAATGTTACATTTCTTTATGTATACATAATTTCTATGCTGCTATATATGCTTCATATATAAAATATTTTTATATAAAGAATACTAATATAATGAGTTTCTGTGAATAATTGAGAATTTCGGGACAAAATTAATTTTATGAATAATCTAATATCATACATAATTGATAAAACGAATTTTATNTAAAAATATATATACAAGATTGTTAATAATAAAATATTATACAATAGAATATTTAAATTTTAAAATATATTTCATATAATTTATCATTTTTAGATAGTCTGATAAAATACATTGGAAAATATTCTTAAATAAATAAGAATTACTTTATAATTGTTTTACAACAATTTTAATACATATAAATGCATCATTGCGAATTTTCATTCGAAAAAGATTGATTTTTACAATTTTTCATTATCTTTTCATAATTGAATAAATAAATACTATTGTATATGTTCATTAACTGATTTTTTAAAATATTTGCAATGCATTTTATTATTTTCTATTCTTTCCCGTTAACATATTTATATTAATGTGAAACTAATATTAATTGAAAGAAAAAATATAAAATTTTCATTCATTTTTCTAACAATTGTTTTTTTATTTTTTTCTTTTTTTTATTTGATGATACAAAAAATAAAATATAATAATAATAATAATAATAATATTTTTAATATATTATTTTACATTATGAAATTAAAAAGAAAAAATTGAAAATTATTTAAAAAAAAAAATATAAAATTTCTTTTCCTTTAAAACATAATATTATATATTTTAGCACTATATTACAAATTTAATCTTTACAGAATAAGTTTAGAGAATAAATATTTAATCTTAAGAAATAAAGTTAAAAAGTATATATACAATATTAAATTGTATTCATATAATTGAATTCATATTTATTTTATACATTTATAGTTTTATTTTATATTTTATTTATATTGATATTTTTTTCAAATTTATTACAAAAAACAATGTTCCAGCTTTTTTCCAAATTCAATATTAAATAATAATCGGGCATAAAATTGATAATAAATTTAAAAAATTTATGAAGGCAACTTAGACAATCTTTCAAAATAGATTTTTCAGCAAAAAACTTGCATAGTTCATTTGTCCGGTATTTCATTGAATCGGAAAACGCAATTTCACATATCGATTTTCTCAATTTCCCCCGTTTATTTCATTCTACCGACGCTGGATTATACCCCATTCTGGCTAGCTTTGATAAAAGAATATGCAGAAAATGTACATACCTGATAACAGAGGGTGATTCGCTATCTTCCAATGAGCATTACGATTCGATTCCCTACAGTTTAACTATCTAAGCCAAGAAAAATAAACGAATATAAAACTAATGCTTTCGACCTAGAAATGATTACCAATGATTACCAATGGTAAAATGTAACCTATGTAACGATTCAGTCTTACAATAATAACAATTTTCTTACAATAATAACAACTATGGCTGATTTCGATGCGACTTTTCTATTAAGAAAAATTTTTCTATTTGATGTGTAACATCTTTTTAATTTCTTTTAGATTTCCTCACTTTCTAAAATCCTATCAATAATAAGTCTATATACTGATAATGTGTGTCAGTAATTCAGCAAATTTTTTCAACTGTTTTGTAGTATCAATGATAAAACTTTTAAAATTGTAAATAATAAATAGAATAGTGATTTAATTTTTTTTGTACTCAATCTTTGAAAGATAATGGAATATATAAATAAAGAAAATAAATTGATAAAATTATAAAATATATTTGTATTCATATGTTGTATATTTTTCAAACAAGTAATTGAGAATCACTGACTTGGTGCTTGTCCGGAAAGCTAGAGGCAAATGGTGCAATTTTGAACGCAATCGACGTTCTTTTACCCTATGTTATTTCTTATTTACTTTCGACTGGAATGATTATAAATGTAAATTAAAAAAGTTTTGATAAAATAGCAATACATACATGATTAATACATTGTTTTTTTATTTAAATGAGAAATTAAATTTTATAATTTCAAGCTAATTATATCAATCTTTAAAACTATATATCTAATATATAAAATAAATATAGTTTTTATAAACTAGAGATTTATTAATTTAATAATATTAAAATTTAATATTAGCTATTAGTTTAATATAATTAATAAAATAATATAATAATTAAATTTCTCATATATATATTCTATAACGATAATTTAATTATTTAAAAAGAAAATAAAATATATGATAAAAAACCATATATTAAATATGATATATAATATAAAATATGATAAAAAAAGAAAATTGAAATTAAAAAAATTTAAATTAGACTTTCATTTGTTTCGAAATTTTCTTCTGAGTTGACATTACAATTTCATTGCTTGTCATCATAAATGCATTTTGAACAATTTCCAAATGCTAAGTAATTCTAAAATTTTTTTCTCTTCAATGTGAAATTTTTACAATTCACCATAGTGTTGTACGAAATAACAAGAATATTTTTTACAAAAAAAGTATAATAATCATTTGTAATCTTCTTATTAATAAAATTTAAATTATTATATAATTTTTCTGTTTATATACTGTTATATAAAATTATTGCAAAATTTAAAAAACAATTCAAGAGATTGAAACAAACAAAAAAGTTGATACACAGAATTTTGAAATTTATTTTACAGTTATAAGTTATAAACAATTTGATATTGCATTAAATAAAATAAGATAAAGAGAAAAACAGATAGTCGGAAATGAAATTATATCTTATCACTACTATTATAGCACGCCATCTTATTTCATCTATTATAAAATGAAATTGCTTATAACTTGAAAAAATAAATTTCAATGGATTATTATATTTTATCATATCATATCAACTTTTTTGTTTGTTTTAATCTCTAAAATTATTTCTTAAATTTTCTATTTTATTTCTTGCATAATTGTTGAGGTATCGATTGTTATAATTATTCGCCATTGCGAATTTTTTCTACATACATTCAAGATAAATCGTAAAATATAAGATATAAGATATAAAAAAGAACGTTACACAGTTGGGAATAAAATACACATGTTAAAAACAATGGGAATCTTTGTATCTATATAAAAAAAATTTGAAATTGAAATTAATTCATTAATAAAATCTTTATATACATAAACAAATTTTTATAAATATAAAATTTTTTAGTAATCATATTGGATAATAAATACAATAAAATAACTTAAAATTAAAGAATGAAATCATATTTTTATTTTATAGAATAATAATTTCAATGTTTAAAGAAAAAATATAATATTGTAAAGATTATTGATTACAATTTCTCATCCTAATTCACAAGTTAAAAATTATCTGATATATTTATTTTAATAATTGTTCTAAATAGAATATGATATTTATCAATAAATAAATATGCTATCTACTCATAAAAAAAATATATTTCCGTTCTATTATAAAAAAAATGAATGTCAATAAAATTTTTATATAAACATATAAAATAATTACATCTCGTATTCAGTAGATTAGATAATTTTTAAATCAACTATACCTGTATCAATCGAAATTTTCAAATTTAACATGAAATCACATATGTGATTGTACTGTAACACTTTTATCATTGTTGTAACTTAACAATCTCGAAATATTGTTTATTTGTATGAAACTATAGAAGCATCGCGTAAACAGTAACTAGCGATTCGAATTTTCGTTGCACAGATCGCGCACGAGTTCACGAACAAACTGCTGATATTGTGCAACGTGTGATTTGTTCACGACTCGTAGTTGCAAGAAAAATTGAAGCATT